GTGGGTGGTTTGCAAATATTTTCTCTTAGTCTGTAACTTTGTCTCATACCTTTAGCATGGTTTTTCTTAGAGTAAGTGTTTTCCATTTCTTTGAAATTCAGTTTATCAATTTTTCCTTTTATAGATAATGATTTGGTGTCAACTCTAGAAACTCTTTGCCTAGTTCCTTAAGAATTTCTCCTTTTTTTTCTGTAAGGTTTTTTTTTCTTGCTTTTCCATTTTCCATTTCAGTTTGTGATATGTTTTAATTTTTGGTACAAAAACGATGAGACTTAAGTCAAATACAGATTTTGCCATTGGATGTCCAGTTGTTCCACACCATCAGTTGAAATGGTTGCTTCTCCAACATTGAATTGCTTTTGCATCCTTCTTAAAATACAGTTGGGGATATTTGTGTGAGTCTATTCCTGGGGTCTCTGTTTTTTTTTCTGATGGTGTATGTATCCATCCTTCCACCAATACTACACGGTTTTGAATACTGCAGCTATAGAATAAGTCTTAAAACACTTTTTTTTTTTTTTTTAAGCTATTCTAGTTCTTTTGCCTTTCTGTATGAATTTTAGAATACTCGTGTCTCTATAAATAATTTTGCTGGGAATTTGATAGGAATTGCATTAAATTTGAGTATCAGTTTGTGGAGAATTGATAAATGCACTAGAGATTAAGTTCATGAAAACAATTTGGCTGTCCCTTTATTTAGATCTTTGAGTTTTTTCAACAGGATTCTATAGTTTTCAGCATATGAATCCTCTGTGTGTTTTGTTATGTCTAAGTATTTCATTTTTTGAGCGATTGTAAATTGTAAATGGAATGTTAGGTTTAATTTTGGTGTCTACATACTCATTGCTAGTGAATAGATATTTTTATGTTTACCTTGAATCTCACAACCTTGCTGAAATCACTTGTTAGCTGTAGAAATTTTTTTCTCTACATAGTCAGGCATGTCTTCTGCCCATAGGTAGAGGCTGTTTCTTACTTTCTGATCTGTATATACTTTTTATTTCCTTTTCTTGCTTTACATGCTAGCTAAAATTTCCAGCACCACTGGCTAGTGCTATGTTGAATAAGAGTGATGAGGGTAGTCATCACCTTTCCTTCTTGATGATCTTAAGGGGAAGCATTCAGTTTTTCACCATTAACTATAATGTTAATTACAGGTTTTTTTGTAGGTGTTCTTTATCAAGTTGAGGAAGTCTTCTTCTTTACCTGTTTCTCTGAGGGCTTCTTATCATGAAGGAGTGTTAAATTTTGTTAAATGCTTTTTTCTATTGATATGATTATGTCCTTTTTCTTCTTTAACCTAGTATATTACACTGATTTTCTTTTAGTATTGAACCAGCCTTGCATCCCTATAATAAACTCTACTTGGTCATGGTTTATACTTCTTTTAATGTGTGATCTATTTTCTAATACCGTGTTAAGGATTTGTGCATCCATGTATGCGAGGAATATTGTTCTATATTTTTTTTTTATGTTGGTAGTGGGGTAATTCTATCTTCATGAAATGAATGGGGAAATGTTTCCTCCTCTTCAGTTTTCTGGAAGAGATTATGTAGAATTGGTGTTAATTCTTTAAATGTTTGATGGAATTTTCCAGTGAAACCATACTGACTTGGAGTTTTATTTTCAGGGAATTTTAAGTTATTAATTCACTCTCCTTAATAGTGATAGGACTATTCAAATTACCTTATTTCATATTTGGTGAGTTTTGGTAGCTTTTGTTTCTCAAGGGAGTGATCCATTTCATCTAAGTTGCCACATTTATGTATGTATAAAAATTTGTAGTGTTCCTCTGTTATCCTTTTGATGTCTCTAGGGTCTGTAGTGATGTCCTGTGTTTTATTCCTGATATTGGTAGTTTGTTTATTCATTCATTTTTTTTTTCTTGGCCAGCCTTGTTAAAGGTTTGTCCATTTCACTGATTTTTTTTTTTTTTAAAGAGCCAGTCTTTTGTTTCACTGATAATTGTCTGTTTTCTATTTTTAATTCCATTGATTTCTACATTTTTTTGGATTTTCTTCTGTTTATTTTGGGTTTACTTTGCAGTTCTTTTTATAGGTTTCGAAGTGGAAGCTTAGATTATTGATTTCAGACTTTCCCCACATCCATGCGCTTAGTGCTATATATGCATTTTTCCTAAATGTATGCATTTAGTGCTTTAAATGTCTTTCAGTATTGCTTAAGCAGCATCTTACAAATTTTGCTCCCTCATTTTTATTAACTACAATGTATTCATTTTCCTTGGCATTCCCTCTTTGATTTAGAGGTGAGTGACCATTGTAAAATTATCTTTTTTGGTATGTATGAAATTTTTCATTATAAAATGTTCAGAAAATAAAAGCTTACATAGAGGAAAGGACTTAACTGATCCAAGTAAATTTGAATTTCCCTAAAGAAGTACTGATTGTCATTGGTAGATAATTGTTTTTTAAATTTTAGAGAATTTTGGAGAATGAAGGGACTATTAGAAGACTGGAGACAGGTAAATGCGGGTTTGATTTTGAGGAGGAAGTTGGAAACTGAAAAATACTTATCTGTGGTTTGGACAGCTGTTTTAAGCAAGACTCTAGAATGACTGATATTTACCATAGACCACAGATTAATAAACTTAGGTGTCCAAAAAATTTTTTCTGATCAGCTCTTTTCAAAGCAGTTACGGGTTAATTCTGAGAAACAAGATGATAAACATGAATTAAAATTTGTTCATGAGTAACAGAAAACCCAAAGGTAAACATGTTCTTTATCCAGCTACTTTTAAAGGGATGGGGGAAGTGTGGTATCGTGAAAAACCTTTTTCAGTTTGCATTATTTCATATTATAATACTAAATTTAACCAAACTCTATCACTCTTTCTTTATAAATCTGGTATAAGGAAGTGGTTCCTAAATTAACTTTTAGCTGTATTGTTGTTTAGGAAGAAGCAGAAGAGAAACTGAGAAAGCAAAAAGAGATGAAGCAAGATTTTGAAGAACAAATAGCCTTGAAGGAATTAGTGCTACAGGCTGCAAAAGAGGAAGAGGAGAACTTTAGAAAAACCATGCTAGCTAAATTTGCTGAGGATGATCGAATAGAATTAATGAATGCTCAGAAACAAAGAATGAAGCAGCTGGAACACAGGAGGGCTGTGGAAAAACTTATTGAAGAGCGTCGCAAACAATTCCTTGCAGACAAAGTAAGAAAAAGTTGTGGGGTTTTTTGGGTCATTATCATTAAACAGCAATTAGCTCATCTATCATCCACTAAACATTTACTGAGAAGCTTTACATGCCAGACAATGTTAGATAAATGTTTACTAGTATACTAGAAAATTCTGAGCATTTATGCTTCTAAAAAATATTTATTGATGTTTTCTATGTACCAAACACTGGTTAAATACTGAGAACATAAAAGGTAAGTAAAACTTAAGTCCATGCTATCTATGAATTTATGATCTTGGTTAAGAAAAATATATAAAAAGTAATTATAAATATGTCATATACATGATAGGTTATAGAGCTGTGGTCCCCTTTAAAAGGAATGGATGAATTAAGATAGAATGAGGTTTGAATGCAAGTACAGTTTCAAATTAACAGTGGCTTAGTAGATAGTTCACTGTTGTGTCACACAGCTCAAGTCATTTTTTCCATATGGCCCAGAATTTTGATGTAATTATTTAAGAGTAGTCAAGAGCTCTTTCCTAAGAAATACTAATAGAACTCTCATGCCTCATATCATCTTTTAAAAGATATATACCTATATATGAAAATATTTATCCTTCAGATAACTTTGATCTTCTTTATTCAGTATTTTGTATTTGTTTGTTTTACACTGTAAACTCTTCAGCATCTGGCATATGGTAAGTATTCAGCAAATATTTACTGTATTAGGCAGTCACTCCGTTGAATATTTTTTCCCTTGGTAATGAAGATACTTGCCTGAAAGTATTTGTTTGCCCATTTTAAAGGAATAATGATAGTAAAAAGATATACAGATAAGTATACAGACATAAAATATATATTTTAAAATATATATTATCTAGAATCTTTTTAAGTGTCATAAATATTTCATCAGTTTTATCAAATTCATTGCATGAGTAGTTTATTTGAAAACTTCATAAGAGATTAATGTAGTTTGTGGTGACAAAATTTGATTTGCATTTCCAGCAACGTGAACTGGAAGAGTGGCAGTTGCAGCAAAGGCGGCAAGGATTTATTAATGCAATTATTGAAGAAGAAAGACTGAAACTTCTCAAAGAGCATGCTACAAACTTACTAGGCTATCTCCCTAAAGTAAGTGAGATTTATCTCAAGTTGTAATCTTCATGACCTCTAATAGTGAAAAAAACTATGGTATTTGGATTTCAGAGGGCCTAGGTTTTGCTCACTTCTTGCTCTGTTACGAAGCAGCAGTGGGATCCTGGCCGGGCACTGACCCTCTCTGGGCCCATTTCACTCTGTCTAAAATGAGCGAGTTGGTCTTGGCACATTATGAGCTTTTTAAATTGAATTTGTATTTTATTAGTTATTTTATCACCCAGGCTGGCATACAGTGGCATGATCTCGGCTCACTGCAACCTCTGCCTCCTAGATTCAGGTGATTCTCCTGCTTCCTGGGTTCAGACCATTCTCCTGCTTAAGCCTCCCGAGTAGCTGGGATCACAGGCGTTTGCCACCAAACCCAGCTAATTTTGTATTTTTAGTAGAGACAGGGTTTCACCATGTTGGCCAGGTTGGTCTCAAGCTCCTGACCTCAGGTGATCCACCTTCTGTGGCCTCCCGAAGTGCTGGGATTACAGGCCTGAGCCACCATGCTTGGCCTGAATTTGTATTTTAGAGGCCCTTTTCTTTTCTTTTAGTATAGGAAATCTAAAGCTACTCTAGAACAACTGTAATACTTACATGCCAAAGATTATATTTGAAAACATCGTAATTGGTAACACCAGTAACAGGCATGTGCTTGAACTGAGTTTGAGACATATCTGCTTTATAGTAGGAAGTATAACTAGTTAAACTTGATTTTTTAAATTCTAGAAGATAGTGAATTTTAATGTATACCCGACACACGTCGTGACTGCAAATAAAATAATAACTGGCTGGGCACAGTGATTCATGCCTATAATCCCAGCACTTTGGGAGGCTGAGGCAGGAGGATCGCTTGAGCCCAGGAGTTGAAGACCACCATGGGCAACATAGGGAGATTGCATCACTACAAAAAAAATAAAATAAAATGTAGTAATGCATGCCTGTATTCCCAGCTACACTGGAGGTTGAGGTGGGAGGATTGCTTGATCTGGAAACCTAAGGCTGCAGTGACCCATGATCTTGCCACTGCACTCCAGCCTGGGCAACAGAGTGAGACCCTGTCTCAAAAAAATGTTTGATAGGCTACATAAACATCTAGACTCATATAGGATCACCATCTTTCAGCTATAGAAATGCCATTTCATATTTTATTCAGTAAAATCAAGTGCATATTTTATATTCAGTCTCGTGCTAAGGAAGGAAAAAGATAAATATATAGGTAATTATTGTCTGGTCACAGGACTTGATAGTCTAAATTGGTTAGACAGGATTAAGGAATACAAAATTATGTGTTAATGATAAAATCCATATGTAATTACTAAATTTCATAAATTATAAATTCTAGGAATGTCTTTGGGATTTGATATTTTCATAGGTGAAATAATTGTGGAGGCAGGAGGAGGGATTAATAAACCTGATACCCAAAAATGGCCATTATCCTTTAGGTCCTAATGGCCCCAAATGTTCTCAGTTAGTTATCCTTAAAATTCTTTAGCTTGCAAGATAAGTAAATAATTTTGTTTTAAAGAACCTTTTGTTGTATACTGTAGAAGAAAAGAAAAATGTAAGAGTGAAGAATTCCAAAGGGTTTGCTTAAATGGCTTAACTCTAAACCTTGATTCTTTTCTGCAAGATTGATTGTTTAGCCATAGAACTGAGGCATAAAGAACTGATCCCATGTATAAGTCTATCGATGCTCTCTTATATTATAAAGCTATTTTAAGCGACGGGTAGGTTACAGTATAGATTAAGTTCCTTCCTGTCTAGGTAATCCAAGCAGAAGTACTTAGGCAAGCCAAGCGCAGTAGAACTTGTAGAAGAGCTCAGCTTCCTATGACAATCTCCCACAGGAGAACTGATAAATCAGAAAATTGGGCCAGTCTAAGAATATTCAATATATATGTCAAGTCACTTTTTGGAAAGGATTGATTTTTTATTTAAAAGTTTCATTAATCTGTTGAATAGATTTCATTACCTTGGAGGTAACTAACTTTACTAACATCATGTCTTTGTCAGTCTTAAAAACATTTAGTGAAATATTCTGGTACAAAAGTAACCCACAAAATATTTTTCTTGTAGGGAGTATTTAAAAAAGAGGATGATATTGATCTGCTTGGTGAAGAGTTTAGGAAAGCGTATCAGCAAAGAAGTGAAATTTGTGAAGAGAAATGATATCATCAAAATTGGGTAAATTTTGTATGTTACCACTAGATGTCAGCATAACTTTTGTTTTATAGTTCAGTGGCACTAGGTATCCATTGTCTATTTGGATTTTGTAAATCATCACTGAATTTCATAACTTGTAAAGAATTATCAGATAAAAATCAAACTGTTATTTTTGTATTGATAATTTGAAATTACAGCATTCCAGAGGATTGTTTGCATCCCCATCCTTATTTAGCTATACTAACATACAATTCTCTACACAGTGAACTAACTTCTGTGTTTTGGAACTTTACTTGATTTGGCCAGGGAAATAAATGTTTGGAATTTTGTTATAAAGCATCTTTTTCGTTCTACTGTAAGGGAAGAGAACTGTAAATGAAAAGAATGAAGAATTTTATTATCTAATTGTCACATTAAGTAAGAACTTAGAAAACAAACTCAAAAGAACATAAAAGGTCATAAGATAGCGAGTCAGAAGTTAAATTTTTGTTGCTTTGTTTTAAAAATTTTTTCTAATAACTACATATCAGAATAATGCATCAGTTTTGTATCTCTCAAATCTAAACAGGGAATTCTTTGAAATTATTTCAATTTCATAATCCCAGAACTTCATTTCTTAAGAATAAAAATAATTCAAACCATTAGAGCAAGTAAAATGGGTATCCGTCACATACTGTCATAGAGACTCACTTAAGTGTAGATCACTTATTTATTTCCCCATTCCATTCAAGTGCTTTCATAAATTCCTCCTCAGTGAAAGACAGCATCTTGGCAGCTTCAAAATGCATCTGATAAAAAAAAAAAAATCAGTATTGTCTGATTTAAAAGAGTAGGCCACCAAACAACAGGAAATTTGTAAAAATGTGTGAGTAATATATTGTCAGCATGTAATTTCTGTTGTAGTAACGTACACTCTTAATTCCAATAAGCATGATACTTAAAATGGTAATTACATTCAAGGACCAACCTATAAAAGACTTTGTTCCCAACAGTAGTATTTAACCAACTTACTTTTAGGGTAATTCAGTGATACTGTAATAACTGACCTTTGCAAAGAAGGAAAGTGTCAGAACTATGAACTTTTAGAGAAAGCAGCAATAGTGGTTTGGAAGCAGTCAGTCCCCTAAGATAATAGTCATTCTTTAGTTTGGTACCTTCTGTAGTTGAGAAGTACCTATACTGTATTTTCCAGTCCCATTTTCTACAATAATTTACTTACGTAAAAATATCCACTAGCTTAGATGACACATCATACATACGAAATCTAACATATATAGTGAGATTTATGTATATATAATGCATTTTTGTATGAAGTTTGGTGCCTAAAGATGTCAAAAATTAAACATACCTAAAGTGAAAAATGCTAAATTTTTTAGTAAGAAAGGTACAAATAGTATGATTTAACTTTAATGACAGACTCACCTTCTGCCTTTTTAAAACATCAATTAATTTTAACTGTTTCTTGAACCCTATGATTAATTCTCCTTTTTGTTTTTCTAGCTTCTTGTTTTCTGATTTTAACACTTCAATTTTTTTGTGGTCTTCATTTGTTATGTCCTACAAAAAGAAAAAAAAGTGCCATATATTCTTTTTTAATATATAGCCTTTCAATGGAAAGAATTATAGACTATCATCACGACAGTAATAAAAAGTACTTTTTAAAACTGAAATACAAATTTTTTTGTAGATAAAATTGCTTTCCATTACCAACTTACTGGAATTTAATAGCTTTTAGTCATGCTCAGGTCTTTCACATTTTAAAAAAACGTTTTAAAAATAATTCTAATTCCAGTAACGGCAAAGTAGCTTGTATTGAACCAACATAAACTCTGGAATTATGAATTTTAAAAGCATAGATGCGTAATCATTAATAAGTAGAAACTGGAAGTGATATGACTCTTGAAAGAACAGAAATACTGGTTGAGATCCACAGTCAACTGGCTTCTCCTGAAAGCACTTTCCAGTTTGTGGGTTCACAGAGCTAGAACACAGGCAAAAAGTAGTAGTCTTACTGGACTGAGGAGTCGGAGAGCAGGGCTGGCAGGGTGGTGCAAGTTTTTAAGTAGGAAATTCTAGAACAAGAAAGCCCTCAAAATATGTATACGTATTTCCCTCAAATGCTTGGCAGACATCTAAATACCATTTACAAGAGTGAGACTCCTAGGCATCTGTGAAAGGAAATGGTTGTGGTCTTTAGCTAAGCAGAGAATTTACCTGCTTTCCAGGACAAGGGGGAGACCAAGTTTGTAATCTTGGTAAAAATGGATTGGATAAGCTCTGTGGCAATTTGGACAATGCAGAAAAAGGATCAGTGAATATTATTTAGGTAAGCAGAAATCATTAAGTATAGGAAGATCTATACTTGAAATGTTAAAGGAAATCTGAATCTCTGTACACACAGAAAAAGATGGAAAAGGAGAAAAACCTGCAAGAGTAATGTGATATCTATTTATCAGTGTCTGTGTATTTTTTTCTAAAAAAAATAAAAAATAAAAAATCTTTAAAAGATAACTAAGAGTGATGTCAGCAAGATCATGGATTAGGAAGCTCCGGGCCTTTGCTCCCCCATTAAAAGACTGAATATATGATACATAGACCAAAGTAGCTTTGGGAGAGCTCTAGAAAACCAGTCAGTCAGCAGCAGCAACCAAGAGAATGCCTAACTAAGAAAAAGCCATGCTCAATATGGTAGGAAATGTCATAGTTTTGGCTCAACCCTTCCCCACATCCTCCTTGGCACAGCACAGTCAGGAATAAGCCACCCAGCTACCCAATTCCCAGTTCCTCCCTTGGAATGGAAGGAAAAGAGTAGACGTGCTTGCACCATTCAGACTTTTATGGAGCCTCCCTGAGGGACTGGTATCTGTCTTGCTTGACTCAGCACTGACGGGAACAGCTGCATCATTTGGATATCCAGTTGGAAGCAGCGGAAATGGATGCCGGGTACCACTGCATGTGAGAGGTGCAGTGAGTCCAGAGAACTGCAGGAACCTGGTGGCAAGAACTTACGGGCAATGGAATACAATATAGCATCTAAAACTGTGGTAAGGAGGAGTGACACTTTTAGGTAATTAGGATATTTTAAAAAAGCCATGTGTATGGAAAACTGGAATTAAAACACAAAGGCCCATGAAAGACACAGCCACAGAAAAGGTTTGAGAGGACCTCAAGACTTTATGCCATGCTGAGTAGTGAAGGTCTTTTCTTGCACGCAGCCAGTCTGCAACACTGGGAGAAGTGGCTGTTTGTTCAAACACCCATTTTTCTACATAAGATCACAAGGCATTCAAAGAAACAGGGAAACATGGACCATATTAAAGGAACAAAATTAATATCCAGAATGTATCCAAAAGAAACAAAGGCTTCTCACTTATTTGACAAGGACTTTAAAACAACTGCTATAAATATGCTCCATGAGCTGAAGGAGAATACTGACAACTAACTGAAGTCAGGAAACCTATATATGAATAAAACAAGACTATCAACAAAAATTACAAAAAAGAACCAAACAAATTCTAAAGCTGAAAAATACAGTAACTGAATTGAAAAATACACTTGAAGGGTTCAACAGCAGAGTTGAACAGGTATAAGAACGAATGAGGGAACTTTGAGACAGGTCATTTGGAATGGGCAGGTAAGAGGCGCCAAAAGTAAAAGAATGAAGAAAACTGAACAGCAGCTAAGGGACACCATCAAGTGGGCCAATATGTATAACAGTGTAATCTTAGAAGAGAGAAAGAACGGGTACAAAGAACTTATTTGAAGTAATAGGTGAAAAATTCCCAAATTTAAGGAAAGAAATGGATATACAAATACAAAAAGCTCCATGAACTCCAAGTAGGATAAACCCAAAGAGACCCACAGCAAGACACATTTTAATCGGTCAAGCATCAAAGAGAAAAGCTTGATATCAACAAGACAAAATGACTTATCCCATGCAAGGGAGCATCTGTAAGATTATAAGCATATTTTTCAGCAGAAACTTTGCAGGCCAGAAGTCAGTAAGATGATAAATTTAAAGTGCTGAAAGAAAAAAATCATATCAGGAAGAATAATATATCCAGCAAAGTGTCCTTCAAAAATGAAGAAGAAATTAAGACATCCCTACATAAAAGCTGAAGAAATTCATTACCACCATATCTTCCTTACAAAATCCTAAAGAGAATCCTGCAAAAGTTGAAACAAAAGCATACCAGACAGTAACTCAAAGCTATATGCAAATATGAAATTCTCCAGTAAACATAAATATTTGGAAAAATAATTGGACAAATATAAAGGCCTGTATCTTAATTTTCATTGGCAACTCACTTTTCATTCTTTTATAGAAGTAACAGACAAAAGCATTAACAATGTTGTAAATCTTTGTTAATGGGTATGTAACATAAAGACATAATTTGTGACATCAATACCACAAGGTAGGGAGGGGCCAAAATGAAGTGGTCTTTATATATGACTGAAGTTATACCATTACATAAAATCAACCAAACACTAAGGAAGGCAATAAGGGAAGAAATGAGAGGCTAAAAATCCTCCAGACATCCAGAAAACAATGAATACATAGCAACAGGCCTTCCAATAACTTTAAATGGACAAAGCTCCCTAACCAAAATACACTGAATGGAAGAATGGATTTTAAAAAACAGGAATCCAACTATGTGTACTCTGCAAGCAACTAACTTTAGATCTAGAGATATGCACAGGTTAAAAGTAAAAGGATGGAAAAAGATAATCTGTGAAATTTTGTAACCAAAAGAAAACAGCAATGACTATAGTAATATCTGACAAAATAGACTTTAAGTCAAAACTCTTGAAACATACCAAGAAGGACATTATATAAGAACATACAGGCCAAACAAAAGGGCCAGTTTAGTAAGAAAATTGATACAATTATATATGTACCAAACATTAAAGTGACTAAATATATGAAGCAAGCATTGACAGACTTGGAGAAATAGACCACTCTACAATAAAAGTAGACTTCAATGCCCCACTTTCAATAATCGGTAAAACCACCAGGTAGAAGACCAATAAATAAATAAGAGACTTGATCAACATTACAGACCAGTTAGATTTAACAGACATAAAGAATACTCCTCTAATGCAAAGGTGTAACAAGGATATAATGGACTCTGGGAACTTGTGAAGGAAGGGTGGGAGGGAGGTGAGCAATAAAAGACTACATATTGGGTTCACCAAAATCTCAGAAATCACCACTAAAGAACTTATTCGTGAAACCACCACCACCTGTTTCCCAAAAACAATTGAAATAATAATAAAGGAAAAATAGAATCATATACCAAAATTTACATATATGTAAAGACAGGAAGTAGATTAGTGGTTGCCTAGGGCTAGGGGTAGAATGTGGTGCAGGGTGTTGGGGGAGAATAGAGTGGCTATGAATGGGTACAGAGGTTCTTTTGGGGGTGATAAAATTGCAAAATTGATTATGTGTGATGGTTGTACAACTTTGTGACTACTAAAAACAACTGATTTGTATATTTTAAGTGAGTTGTATGGTACATGAATTATAGTTCAATAAAGATGTTATTTTTAGAATGAAAAAGAATACAGTTTTCTCAAGTGCACATGGAACATTCCCCACATTTTAAAAGACTGAAAGCATAGAAAGTATATTTTCCAATCACAGTTGATTCAAACTGGAAATCAACAGCAGAAGGAAAACTGCAAAACCCACAAATATGTGGGGATTGAACAGCACATTCAAACTACCAAGGGGTCAAAGAAGAAATCACAAAGGAAACTGGAAAATATCATAAGACAAA